TTGGACATAAAAATACTCTATGGAAACAAATCCAAAAACTAAAAGTAACAACCACTTTAGCATAATAGAAAAAAAAAAAAGAAATACCACCAAAGCATAAGAAGATAAATACCCCACACACGATAAAGAGGTAAGTAAATCTCTAAATAACACTTGACTTATCATATGTTAATGGAATAATTAGTGTTTGATGTGAATGATTAGTAAAATTAGCAAACTAAAACATTAGTCGAATCTATACATTCTCAAGTAAATGAGGTGGTACGAGATGATAACATTCGACGCTCTATTTTGGTCAAAGCGAATTTCATGAGATAAACTCAAATTTGTCAAGATTGGAACGGTCACATCCTATTGGGTATGCATAATGAATCATTGCCTAATATCCGATATGCGCTAACATGATCGATATCCAATCCGAATGAGATGAATTCTATGAATACGCTTTCACTGGTTACCTTTGTTGAGATGATCCAATATCAAGAACTAAGTAAGCTGGCTAATCTAATCTAAAGAAAGTTTTCGTATCCTAAAAACTTCGCTAGCCTAGTTTATAATTTAACCACTAAATATGCTTTCCATTTCTTGACTTTTATGATCAAAGTTGTCTACTACTGATTTAACCAAAAGACCATTTATGGATGGAACACTATTACACCAACGTTCACAAGGGTTTTTTTTTGCTAAAGGATTCATCTAATTCAATTTATATGTTTTTTTTTTTATCGATATCATATGTATTAGACTGGTATTCGCGATACACATGATTTTTTTATTATACTTTTAAATGGTTGTGTTAATTTTCTATAAAGTAGCTGTTATAGTTAAATAATGTTGTAGACAAGAAGATTTATAAAAAGATACAAATTATAAAATTATCCCATCAACAAAATTGTAGTTTCGTAAAATCCGCTAAGAATGTTTTAATTGATACTATAATTTATTAAATAAAAAATTTATTTGTAGTAGAAAAACTATACAGTCGACGGTGAAACTCATATAATCTAATTAATATCTTTGTAATTTTAAAATGAGCTGTGTTCTAAATATTTTACCAATGTCTCAGTCATTTGAAGAAATCTCGATCTTTCATAAAGAATCTTGCCACTAAAAAAATGTTTATGAGAATTCATTAACATTCGTGTTGCAACTAAGATAGTGGTAGAAAATTTGGAATCAGACATCCTCAAGGAAAATTTATTAGTTTTCAATTGATTTTCAGGTTTTAGGGATTTTGTAAGCTATTTTAAGATAAATATTTG